GGGGGGGGGGTGTCATAACTCTTCATCCAACTCATGTGAGAGAGCCCAATGCTAAAAATGTTTAATGTGTCCCCTGGAGCTCATATGACCTTTTGCAGTTGCGAGCGCGATAAAACACTAACCAAAACATGACTCTCCGTTGCCTCACTTTCAGGTGGGTCCACGTGGCCGTCCTCGGGCCACGCCCTGCCCAACGGCGACCTGCAGCACATCTGGTCCAACGGCGTGGACAACAGCGGCCTGGCACACATGTCCTCCGAGCTCTTCTCCTCCTCCCTCATGTTCCTGGGCCAGGACCTGGCCAACAACCCCCACGCCTCCGAGATGTCGCAGGGGAACGAGGAGGTTCCCGTGCCACCCGGTGAGTCTAACATGAGTGGCGAATGTGCCACCCGGTGAGTCTAACATGAGTGGTGAATGTGCCACCCGGTGAGTCTAACATGAGTGGTGAATGTGCCACCCGGTGAGTCAGTAGTGCTTTTTGGTGATGACAGGAACATATAGTAGCTTGCTGCACCAGAAATCGATGTACAGAAAAGTGGGAAGACGTGGAATAACATCAAGAGGCTAGCCCAGGATAGATAAAGGTGGAAGGTGTTTGTCCGTGGCCTATACTCTGGTGCAGGGTGAGAAAGGCAATGATGATGCCATCTTCTCTAGGTTTTTTGTTTGAGCCATGGAGTCTGGCAAAAAAATGTTACGTTAAAAAGGTGCTGAAATGTAGGAACTTCAGGCGCTCAGAATTGAACAGTGACCACAGTAGCATATATATATATATGTAATGATATTTTAAAGTATTTGTGGAAAATATTTTGATCATGTGTTTAAGCGCTAAGCAAAAAGTACATTCTTTTGCTAGCACAGTGGCGATATGTGACGATATGCTCGTTGTAAAAACTGTAGAACTGTAGGCTATGACTAAACATAACCTTATGGCAGCTAAAAAAAAAAAATTCTATTGTGCTTGCTGTGGGTTTGTTTTTTCTTCCAGGTTAATTTACTGTTGTAAGTAAGAGTTTTGCAGCACTTTCAACTCAAAGTTAGAGGTCATATAAGAGCCAAAGCTCAGAGGTGTCACTGGAGAGTAAATAATTGACAACCCCGTTGGCCATGTCACTGCAGGTTTCATGTCCTCGCTGGAAGCCAAGCATGTTGCTGAGATCACCGAGAAACTGGCAAACTTTGAGATAGAGACGGACACAGAGACCAACTTCTTTCCTACCGATACTGGTGAGTTTGTGTGATGACATTCTACTGTAATTTTGTTTGTAATTCCTTCTGAAATTAGCTGAGCTTAATATTTAATCGGATTTATTTTAACAAAGTCAAGATCTGGTCCAAGTGTCTCGAGTCACTGGTAGGTCCTACTTCCTTTACTTTCCCCTCTGTTGTTTCTGTCTGTCTGTCTTAACATGTCCCAGCACTGCATGACCGTTATTGGTCGATGTGCTTTTCTTTACTCAAACAAACCAACAAAGGAACAAGTCTCTAGTGAATTTTCATTTCATGTTGCAGCATTGACAATAGTTTGTTATGGGGGGCTCCAGTGGCTAAGTGAGTAGTGAGGTTAGACTCAAGTAATGTCAAGCAAGTGTCGGTGACTCGGGGATCAGATGGGTGGTCACTGGGGTGTGTCCTTGAGCAAGACACACAACCTTAGCTCAAAATACAGGACGCTGCACAGTGGCGACTGACAGTGGCATGGTTGTAAACTGTTCTGTATTTGTGTAATATTGTGTATTTATGTTTGTATTTATGTATGTACGTATTTATATATGTATTATGTATGTTTGCCATTGTAAACCAAAGTGCCCTTCTGGGACAAATAAAAGTGTATTTTATTTTATTTTATTTATGATTACACACTGATTCACTCTGTCAAACAGTATGATCTGATACCTACAAAGTTTACCGTTTGAAAATTATTGCATGATATATGATGTGGCTAAGTAAGGAATATTGTGGCGGAATTGTAAAGAAGAATGTGTGGTTTTTTAGCTGGCTGGATGAATGCACCAAAGACAAAATTGAAGGTAGAATGCTGGTTCAGTCTTGTGCATTCCTAGATTAGCTATCTAGGGTTTTTTTTCTTTTCCCACCTGGTATTCATTTTTAAAAAGGGATTGTTTTGGGGTTGTTTGGGTTTTTTTTCAGCTCATAACTCTGTGTGCATGACAGTTTCTCCAATTTTGTTTTGCTCTAATATCATTTCATTTTTCTTTTTTCAATTTCTAGAACAATCAGGGAATTTGACCGAAACAGATGAAGCAGACAACGAGCAAAGTTCTTCCAGTAACACGGAAAAGTAAGTCTTTTGTGAAACTTCATGGCTGTGATCAATTTGGTAGTCTTTTTTTTTTTTTTTTTGGTAATAACGGGAACATCTGGCTTGCTGCATGCCGTTTTCTCTGGGCTTTTGTTTGATCCATGAAGTCTTTCAAAAATCTTATGTTAGAAAAAGGACAATGTTGGAATGTAGTTGTAGGAGCTTCAGGTAATCAAAATTGAACTGTAAACACAGTAGCATATATATGTATTGCTTTTGTAAGGCATTTGTGGAAAATATTTGGATCTTGTGTTTAAGCTCTGAGCAAAAAGTATGTTCTTTTTGTATGTTTCTTTCGGTATTTCAAAAGTAATTTCCCCCTTCAGGAGAAAGGACTTTTTGGTCGTCATGGCCATGTGCGTTTGTAGTCGTGTTTATGTTGGTGACAAACTTGAAACTTCGTGATTTATTGTCTTTATGTCGGTTACAACCTTGAAACATAATGATTCATAGTCTTTATGTTGGTGACCAACTTGAAACATACGGTAGGGATTTATAGTGTTTATGTCAGTGACACACTTTAAACATAGTGATTTATACTGTTTATGTCAGTGACACACTTTAAACATAGTGATTTATACTGTTTATGTCAGTGACACTTTTGAAACATAGTGGTTTATACTGTTTATGTCAGTGACACACTTGAAACAGTGATTTATACTGTTTATGTCAGTGACAAACTTGAAACATAGTGATTTATAGTGTTTATGTCGGTTGTTACAAACTTGAAACATACTGATTTATAGATTTATAGTGTTTATGTCAGTTACAAACTTGAAGCATAGTGGTTTATAGTCTTTATATCGGTGATAAAACTTGAAACATAGTGATTTATAGTGTTTATGTCAGTTACAAACTTGAAGCATAGTGGTTTATAGTCTTTATGTGAGTGATAAACTTATAACATAGTGATTTATAGTCTATATGTCAGTGACAAACTTGAAGCGTAGTGATTTATAGTGTTTATGTCAGTTGTTACAAACTTGAAACATACTGATTGAGTGTTTATTTTGGTGACCAACATGAAACATAGTGATTTTATAGTGTTCATGAAACATGGTTATTGAGTGTTCATGGACTTTTTTCTCAGGCAAGAAATGGGACAGCGTAAACTGCAGCATAGGTTAGAGGCTGTCCAAGCGGAGGGTCTGCTGCCCACTGTCAAGGTCATGTGTGATTGGATGCGGGGACAGGTGTCGATCATCTCTGTCTGTGCTCAGGTTTGTTTGGGGTTGTTTTTTTTTGTTGGTTTTTTTCTTTTCTGGTGATCCCTATTCCTTCACTGCCAGATTAGCTGTGGGTGGTTGGCGGGTGCTCTGGTGTGGTTTGCTCCTTCTTTCCCATCCAACATCTATTGTCCTGATCTCTCCCCCTTCTATTTTATGTTTGTTACTCTCTTGGAACACTTCTAATCTTCGGCTCTTATGTGACCTTATTGTGTTGCAAGTGCCGTAAAACTCTTACTAAAACTAAACTAAACCAGATTTGCTGTATCCTAGAAATGCAAGGGTACCATTAGTGTGCTGTTAACTGGCTCTGCTCTACTCTACGATCGAGTTCTGATAATTCAATACCGTTACCTTTGATGAGATCAGAGATTAGTTATTATTCATTATTCATTACTGCTTTTGTTTCAGGAAGTCAGCATCTTTATGTTCCTTTATTCGTTAGAGTGGGTGGTTGGCGGGTGCTCTGGTGTGGTTTGCTTCTTCTTTCCTATCAAACATCTGTCATCCTTATCTCCCCTTCTTCTTTTTTATGTTTGTTACTCTCTTGTAGCACCTCTAATCTTCTGGCGCTCATATGACCTTATGCAGTTGCGGGCACTGTGAAACCTCTACAGAGATGCCAACCAGTACGATTTTACGTATTTTAGTACGATTTTTGGCCGAAAATACGCGAATACGACTTTTCATGAAAAAATACGCATCCTGGAATGCGAAAACTACGAGATTCAGCTTGGGCGAGTAAACTTAATTATCTCAGGTCCCATCTTTTGTCAAAATAGTATCAGTATCGCAGAACTGGAATATTTGAAAACCAAGTCTGATGTGGTCAGTAAGTTCATTTTTGCCGGTCGTGATCGTGATATTATATTCGTTCATCTTTTCCCCGTCTGGAGAGTATGTTTCACTTTCACGCGAAAAGGCAGCTATGGCGGCAGGCGGAAGCATATGCGACACCGAGGCTCGATCGGGAAAATCAAGATCTACTTTCGCTTTCGTTACCACCGAGAAGTTTGCCAGCAGTTGTCTGATAACGCAACATTGTGGCATGCAGGTTGTGCAGTATAAACACAATGTCGCCGTTCAAATAAAATGTAATAAATACTCTGACTCGTCACTGTGCTGTCATTTGTGGAAAAAAAAAGAAAAGAAAATACAAGCGTCGTCCGATTTTTAGATTGTCTGGCTCGCCATCGTGACCGGTCACTGACCCTGTGCGCATTCGCGTCATAAATAAATGCGGCATCGTAGTGAGTAAACACCGTCTTTGGTGGGAGTAACGGCGTTGCGAAGTATAGGACTACGGAATAGGGGAGAAGATTATTTTTTTTTGGGGGGGGGGGGGTTAAGATACTATCGGGGGTTTAAGGCAACACCAGAGGACAAAAACTTGGAAGCTCTTTTCAGAATTTTGATTAGTTACAGCTTTCTGCAAAGCGCGTGTTGGTGCAGGCCATGTGCAGAATCGGGACCCCTCATACTTTGCAAGTCTGTGTTATTGAAATAAAGTGTTCACGTTTCATTGGATGGGTGATAGTAAATTATACCTACTTGGATTGGTGATAGTAAATTATACCTACAGTGTATGTTGTAGCTTTCTGTTCAAGACTGGCAGATTTTCAGTGTCACTGCATCTTGCCCTACCACAGTTGTTACAACTCTCACAGTGCATGGGTCTACTTGAGCCATTCAAGTTATTGCTTTTCTCTGAGTTTGAGCAATAATTTGAGTCTGTCAGTTCATAATATGAATCATGACACCCAGACTGATTCTTGATAGTCGAAATTCTTGTTCTAAGCCCTTCCAAACTCTCAAAGCAGGATTTATTTTTTATATAATAACGAGAGGAAAATGTTGTATAATAGACTGAAATACTTAAGGCGAACAAGACCCCAGTACAACATTGAACACTGACATGTTGTTGACTGGATACATGTATATTGTACGCGTGTGTGCTCCCTTTTTCGAGCTGGTGAGCTAGTAATTTTTTTGCTGGACACCCTGAACATTTTACTATTTCTGGTTGGTCGACCATCAATGATTTATTTATAGAGGCACCAGCCATCCATGTCCAGGTGCTGTTTTAGCCTACTGGTTGGTCGGTCGGTCGTGGGAATACACATTTTCACCTGAAAATACACATTTTCGTATTTCCCAATACTCATTTCGGTTTTCTGTGGTTGGCATCTCTGCCTCTACTAAAACTAGCTCATTCGTTAGATTTCACACTCTGTGGAACATTACAGCAACTGCAACAAACCTACACTTATCCCTACATGACACTGAACAGAAGGGCGAGAGCCCAGCTGTTGCTGGATTGATAACAACAGCAACATTTGTTAGGTTTGAATACATTTCAGGCTTGCCAACCGTCCAGAAGTTTTCGGGAAATCCATCGTCCTTCCCTAACCTTTCCCGAAACGGCATCTCTCTCTCCCTGTTTCTCCTCTGGTTTGTTTGAGCTGTTTTTGTGGTGTGGGTGGGGGGTTTTTTTAGTAGCCTATCACAGAAATGTGTGTCCGTGGCGCTCCGGCGCAATTAAAATTCCAGAATTCAGTATCTCGAAAGTTGGCAAGTCTGACATTTGTTACTGATCTGTTCTTTTTTTTTAAATGTTTTTTTTTACTTTTCCAGAGTTCCCACACACTGTGGCAACGGTTGTCTCTGCTCCTCAACTTTTTACCGCATGAAAACGAGTTGTCCCATCATGGTAAGCTTTCATGTGGACTCTGTGTGACTGTTGTAGCTGTGGTTGAGCTGTGGGTCTGATCCGCTGTATTTGCTCTTTTGCAGCGTCCTCCCAGAAATCTTGAAATCTTGACTAAGCTTAATGCCTGGGCCTGACTAAGATATGGAGAATGTGCCTTGCCCAATTTGCACGAACCCCATGTGACTGTAATACACAATGAAAACAGCAGCGTCTTTGCTTGTGTTGCGAGAAGATAAATGAACGAGGGTATGAGCTGTGGTGGTTTACAGAATTTGACATTTGAAATACAAACCCTGAAAGTAGCAACTGACAAATGGGTCTCGTGTTTGCTCATTTAAATTTATGGGTAGTAAAAAATGGTCTCTGACTCTTTTTAAAATTTGGATCATGACGAATGAAAACATTTTGTCTTTTGAAAGAAATATTATGAAATAACCTGCATAATTATTTACTTTGATTGTTAATGATTTTGATTGTGAAATTCGGGTAACTTTCCATGACGTTCACTACTGTACGGGTGACTGGACTCCTACATAGAAACACCAGGACATTAGAAACAATTTTTTTTGGTTTCCATTTTAGAATTATGGTTTTGTTTAATCAGTTTGTAAAATTATGATCTTGTTTGATTCTTTTGTAGAATGTTTGTTTTTGGGTTTTTTGACTGGATGGATTGCTTGCTACTTCAGCAATATGTTAGGAGTGTTATTATTTTTGTTGTATTTTTTTTTTTCCCACCCAAGTCCTGATTATGGTGCAACTTGTTATGTTGCAAGAAAAATGGGGATTTGTTAAGTCTGTGATGGTGACGAGGATAATGATGAAGGAGTAGTCACTGCATCATTTTTAGCGAATTAATGTACGATATAAGTTCACATTTTTCCCAACCCTCCGGGGCAGTGCTACTGACTGAAGTTTCTTTAGGCCATTCCCAAAGGGGGGACATTAACATGTTCTTATGCACAGTGGAATTGTAAATGGGCTGATTCATCAATGTCATGCTCATAACATTGCCTGAACTTCAACAGGGAACTGCTGCTTTTTCTCTCCTAATCCTTACTATTGTCATTTTCCTCTACTTCTTTTATATGTTTGTCACACTCTTGTGAACCACTATTTCCGGGGTGCCTTGATAGTCGAAGCAGACTTTGTGCTGTTGAGGCTAGAGAGGTGAGCAGAGTAAGCCTGATTCCCTGTAAAGACTTCTCTGTTGACATCCACCCTTGGCGCTCATTTGACCTTAAGCAGTTGCGAGCGCCGTAAAACCTCTACTAAAGCTACAAAAAACATTTTCCCCGACAGACGTGTGCTGGGTGCAGGAGCTGCAGCTGATTGCCACGCAGACGCGGTTCTCGGACTGGGCCCAGGGTTTCCCCCTGACAGAGGACATCGAGATGTGTCAGCTGCCGTCGCTGGCAGAGGTCCACGGGCAGATCGACTTCACCATCCGGCACCGCGCTCAGCTCACCGATATGCAAGAGGTACGGTGCCGGCTGTTTGTGTGTGGGTGGTTGGTGGCTGTCCCTGTTGGTGTGCTCCTTCTACTTCTTTTTAGTGTTACTGTTGTCCTCAGGGTTGCCGTTTTTCCACCGTTATGCAAGAAGTACGGTGCCAGCTGTTTGTGTGGGTGGTTGGTGGCTGTTCTTGTTAGTCTGTTCCTTCTACTTCTTTTCAGTGTAGCCGTTGTCCTCAGGGATGCCGCTTTTCGATTATTTCTGTTTGGTTGTTGTTTTTTTTCCGTTATTTTGGGCATCGTCTGTTATTAACTTTTGGGGTTTTTGTTTTTTTGTTGAACTGATATCATGTTGTTTTGTTGCATTTATTTGCTTTGTCGCATGCTAAATCTAGTCTGTGGGTGGTTGGTGGGTGCTCTGGTGTGGTTTGCTTCTTCTTTCCCATCAAACACTCTATCATCTGTATCTCCCCACCTTTTTTGTGTGTGTTACTCCCTTGTAACACCTCGAATCTTCGGCCCGTAGATTAGATGACCTTATTGTATCGCAAGTGCCGTAAAACACTTACTAAAACTAAAGATATATAAATGTCTCTATATTTCCCCACAGACTTTTCTTCGTATCTGTTGCCTGCGTCGCTTTGGTTACTTCCTCACAGCCATCGAAGGCATCGACTTCTGCTACCAGCCAGAGACTGCCTTGTTCCTGGGGCCGTCCGTGGACTCGAACCTGCCGGCCAGTAGCCAGGACACCATGGAGAAGATGGTAAGGGGGCTCTCGTGGCCTAGAGGTTAAGGTGTTCGCCTCTCATTCATAAGTCCCGGGTTCGAATCTGGGTAGCGATGGAAAAATGTTCTTCTCTAAAGTTGTCTCCTTTCACCGTCTTTCCATCTCTCTTGCAAAATTCTATCATCTGTTTTCGTCTCCACTTTCTTCCCCCACGCCCTCACCCTCTTTGCCCCCTCCTCTGAGCTCCTGACTCTTTCTGCAGCCTTTCAAATGGTACTCATTGGCTCCTTCTTACTGCTGTCTTTCAGCCACACCCCTGATGGTCTGGTAGGAAAGGTCTACACCTAGCCTTCTCGGTCAAGGGCGAAAAATCTTGGTGGTCCAAAATCAATAAGAGTAGGCTTCAGCCGCCACCCGGGCAAAATTCAAAACTTCCTACCAACTGAAAATATTAGGTGTGTCCCACATGCTCATATGCCCTTATGCAGTTGCGAGCGCCGTAAAACACTTACCAAAAAATAAAGATGGTAAAATCATTTCTTTGCTGATTTTTTTGTTTTGTTTTTTTATTTGTATGTTTTTGGAAAGTTTTACAGTATTTCCTACATTTTTCACATGCTCTCATAATTGCTAAGAGCACTCTTGTTCTTTTTTCCCCACATGACATTTCTCCATGTTTGCTAGAAATGCATCTTATCACAATTTTACGGGCAGAACAAATACGTGGGTGGTTAGCGGGTGCTCTGGTGTGGTTTGTTCTTTCTTTTCTATCGAACATCTATCGTCCTGATCTCTCTTCCTTCTTTTTGGGGGGGTTTGTTACTCTCTTGTAGCACCTCTAATCTTCGGCACTTGTATGACCTTATCGTGATTGTATGATTCTTTTTCTTTTGAACTCTTGTCTTATACTTAACATATTTGTGCTTTATTTTCGCACCGAAGTGGCCATAAAAGTGAGTGTGTGGGTGCTTGGCGGGTGCTCTGGTGTGGTTTGATCCTTCTTTCCTGTCAAACAACTATCATCTTTATCTCTCCTCCTTCTTTTTTGTGTTTGCTACTCTCTTGTAACACCTCTAATCTTCGGCACTTTTATGACCTTATTGTGTTGCAAATGCCATAAAACTCTTACAAAAATCAACACTAAAAAGCACTGACTCAAGTTCCCCTGTGTTTGTTCCTTGAATTCACAGAAGGACACCGAGAGCCGACGCAACCAGCTCATGCGAGACATGGCCCAGCTTAGGCTACAGGTGAGTTATCTCGCTCTCGTCTCAATTTTGGACGTTGGGCACTTTTCTCACTTCATTACTTGTTTATCTGTATATGTGTGCGTACATAGGCCTTCTCCAATTTAAGCTTTTTGCTCATATGACCTTATGCAGGTGCGGGCACCGTAAAAACTCTACTAAAACTTAAACTAATACTAATGTTGTATTCATGTATGTTTGTGAGCTTCTTCATTTTGCAGTGTTCTTATAAGTATTGAAAGCTATATTTACTGGAAGAGAAAAAAGTGTTCTATACGAAAATGATATTGCATGCATTACAGGCATTAAAAAAAGTGACTTTTGTGCTTCTCTGCAAATTCTTTCTGACACTGAGTAGTGAAAAACGCTTTGCTCTGTGTTTGCATAATTTAATCAACTTCTGTGAATAGTGGTATTGAAAGAAAAATTAACATGTTCTTTTTTTTCATTGATGCTGGCATTATGCTGAGTTTCCTGTGTGTTTGTGGATGTTGGGAGAATGTTATGAATGGGTTTTTTTTTAGGGGAGGAGGGGGCCCCTGTTTTGTTGTTGTTTTTTCTTTGAACTAAATATATATAATTTAATTTTTTTTTTTAACTAAATATATGTGGGTGGTTTTTGGGTGCTCTGGTGTAGTTTTCTCCTTCTTTCTTGTCAAACATATCTGTCGTCCTTATCTCCCCTCCTTCTTTTTTGTGTATGTTACTCTCTTGTAACACATCTATTCTTCGGCACTTATATGACCTTATTGTGTTGCTAGTGCCATAAAGCACTTACTAAGACATAAACATCTATGCTTGCTTCTGCACTTATATTACCTTATTGTGTTGCAAGTGCCGTAAAACTCTTACGAACCTCCCCCCCCCCCCCAAAAAAAAAAACAACTAAATCTATTGTATTATCCCCGGTTGAGCAGGCGGAGGTTCGGGAGCTGGAGGGCAGCCTCAAGACGTCGGACCAGCAAGTGTTCCCTCCGTACGTCCTGGTGGATGACGCAGCTCTCTGTCGCCACCTGACCAAGGTCAAGGAACTGGCAGCTACGGCGCGGTGCATCCTGGTCATCCCCTTAGCAGGTCGGTGGACAGATAGTCTGACTGAGACAGAATGAGGGAATGAGGCTCTATACTGGGTGGACAGATAGTCTGAGAGAGGATGAGGGAATGAGGCTTTATACTGGGTGGACAGATAGTCTGACAGAAACTGAATGAGGCTATATACTGGGTGGACAGATAGTCTGACTGAGACTGAATGAGGGAATGAGGCTTTATACCGGGTGGACAGATAGTCTGAGACAGTGGGTGGGTGGCGGATGCTCCTGTGAGGTTTGCTCCTTCTTTCCTATCGAACAACTATCGTCTTTATCTCTCCTCCTTTTTTTGTTTGTTACTCTCTTGTAACACCTCTAATCTTCTGGCGCCCATATGACCTTATGCAGTTGTGAACGCTGTTACTCTCTTGTAACACCTCTAATCTTCTGGCGCCCATATGACCTTATGCGGTTGTGAGCGGCGTAAAACCTCTACTAAAACTAAAACTCCAGTTCCCATTATTGTTGTGTTGTTGTTCCATCTTCTTCTCGATCGCATCACACTTAAAGTCTGGTATCTGTCATAAATTGGGCCGTCCTGCTCAGTTCATCTGTCAGCCCATATAGCTTCTCTTGTAGCGTCAGTGGGGTTGGCCACGTTTCCTGTCTCAGGGCCCTGTGTGTCTTGCAGTGCTGAAGGATGTGTTAAACAGTTTGGTCCGCCTCTCCACACTGGCATTTTGGTGATTGTGCTAGTTTAAAACATCTGTACGTATGTTGTCTCAGTCTTGTGTGTTGTGTCCTTAGTCTGAAGATAATCTCTTGTTCTTGGCGGGGCAGCTCATGGTAGCTATCTGGTGTCTGAGGTGCTTTAAATAGTGTATTTATAATAGTTTTTATTTCTGTGTTGTTGTTCCAGTTGTGGACAGCCTGGACATGAAGAAAAAGGAATGCACCAGTGCCAGGGAGGTCATCAGGTGGCTGGAGGTCCAGCTCCGGAAAGGCAACAGGTGAGAGGTGATGGGGCAGCAGATCATGAGGGTAACACTCGTTTTACGGTGGAGAGGGGTGGTGGGGATACACCTCTTCTTGGTCGTGTACGCCTCTGAGGGAGGCTTTATACCGGGTGCCCATTGGCTTGATCGGGTCTGGTCGGGGCAGTTTGCTAGCCAGATTGAGGGCGCAAAGCGGTTATCGCGACACTAGCCGATCCCCCGACTTACTAAATGTTTGGCTGGAAGAGGTGAAGTCAGCTTCCCTTGCTTTTCCTCTTTATTTCTCTTTAAATGTAAAGGTGTCAGTTTCTGTCGAGTGTTTGATTTTATTTTTTTAACTCATTGCTGACGGCCTACGAGAATACTTGTGTCCATGCGGCTACCTGACTACGAGACAATCCAAATCCCTTTTTGTCTCTATAAAACTTGCTCCAGTCCATTATTTCCAAGTTTTTTAAAAACAACTTTAAAGTTACCGATGTTGCATAATTTCTGTACGCTTACTTATTTACTACCGGTAACGCCATTTGGTGATTAGGGCAGCAACAAAGAATCTCTAGCTCTGTCTGTTTTGGGCCATCTTGGTCAACGTTCCCCCACTGTATACTTATTGTCCGCTAATTTTGTCGCTGTTTGGAGGGAAAGTTGTTGCAGTTTTCGTGTGGGTACCTAGATCTGTGGGTGTGGCTGGAGGCAGCCCAGATGGGTGTGTCTGCTCAGGGAGGCAACTCGGGTGGAAGTGGGTTTACACTCTGTCGCCTCATCTCGCCGATCGGCGATGTTTATCTCCCAGTTTCTTTGGATATTCCCCAAAATGCCTTTGCCTTTGATGGCAAGAGTTTTTACTCTATATGAGCCTTTTGGCCGCAAAGTGTTAAGGGTTTTAATTGCTCGTTTCTTTTCTGTTGTGGACAGGTGTTTTGCTTTCTTTGCGTATGTTCAATTATTGTCTATACCATCAATTTATTTGGGTTGAGGGGTTAACTAGAAATTCCACCTTATACAAGTTTCTACATTGACAGATTTGACATGACGCTCAAAGAAAGAAAACTCTTGTGGGTGGTTGGCGGGTGCTCTGGTGTGGTTTGCTCCTTCTTTCCTATCTAACATCTATCATCCTTATCTCCCTTCCTTCTTTTTTGTGTTTGTTACTTTGCAGTAACACCTCTAATCTTCAGCACTTATATGACCTTATTGTGTTGCAAGTGCCGTAAAACTCTTACTAAAACTAAACTTGGGTTGGGCGGTTAACAAGAAATTCCACCTTATACAAGTTTCTGCATTGACAGATTTGATATGACGCCCAAAGAAAGACAACTGTTCTATTTTGTTCCAGATATATCCGTGCCCAGAAGAATCAGGAGACCTTGTTGTCCCAGCAGCACGGCATCCTGAAGAAGAAAAACCGGGACTCATGGTACGCATGCTGAACGTTCGTTATCTCAGTGTTGTGGGAAAAAAGATACATTTAGCATCCTTAGAATTTGCTGGCGGGTCATTTTCTGTTCAGTTATATGACTCAAACACCATATGCACACTAAATTAAAAGTGGGAGAGTCCGCGATCTGTGAATGTAGACACGACCAAGAGGATGCCAACCATATCCTTCAGCGCTACACCACTTTTCGTACACAGACGTGGCAGAATGTGACTCCCCTTGAGAGAAAGCTCTATGGCAGTCTCTTAGATTTGAAGCGGACTGCACAGTTTGTGCGCGACATTGGACTGACTGTCTAGCTGCTGTCATCGAGAGCGAGGAAAAAGAAGAAGTTCAGTCATGTTTTGTTTTGTCCTCAAGAAAAGCACACACAAATACTTTCTCAAAAACAAGTACGGTACCTTGCATAAAAAATCTAGAAATTTGCTTGGACTCATTCTACGTCTGGGCAAGACAGTGAGGAAATGTGGTAAAGGAGTACTTTCTCAAGATTTTCTGCAACTGCTTCATTTGTGTAGTTGTCTATCTTTTGTTATTTTTAACAATCTCGGTGGGCGGTTGGCGGGTGCTCTGGTGTGGTTTGCTCCTTCTTTCCTGTCAAACATCTCGTGTTTATCTCCCCTCCTTCTTTTTTATGTTTGTTACTCTCTTGTACCACCTCTAATCTTCTGGCGCTCATATGACCTTATGCAGTTCTGAGTGCCGTAAAACCTCTACTAAAACTTAACTAAAAACATTTTTCATCTTTATCTCCCCTCCTTTTTTATGTTCGTTACTCTCTTGTAACACCTCTAATCTTCGGCACTTATATGACCTTATTGTGTTACAAGGGAATCGGAACCCAAATGGCCGCTGGATCGGAAAAGTAAAGTAAAGTAAAAATGTTGCAAGTGCTGTATAACTCTTACTAAAACTTTAAAAATGTGTATGTTTAACTTTGTGACTGGTTTTTTTTGTTTTTTTTTTAATTCTATTTTATTTTATTTTTTGTTGTTTTGTTTTGTCTCAGGTACATTCTGGAACTTCTGGGCTGTGCTCGCTACCTGGCCCAGCAGACGGGCACCTTCACGGGCAACAACAGCGTGGTGGTCATCCTGACCGGGGAGCACAAGCTGCTGGAGCCGCCTCTTCTGCCGGTCATCCAGCAAGTGAGGACCTCCGCCCAGCAGGAAGGTGCGCAGTCTTTTCTGTCGTTTCATTTAGGCTTAGTAGTATCATCTCTTGGGGCCTAGAGGTTAAGGTGTTTGTCGCCTCTCATTCAAAGGTCCCGGGTTAAAATCCGGGCAGCGACGGAAAAATTTTCTTCTCTAAAATTGTCTTCTTTCACCTCCTTTTGCTTCCTTTCACCTCTGCGTCTGCTTTTGTCTCCACTTTCTGCCCCCTCCCCTTGGGTTTCTGACTATTTCTGCAGCCTTTCTACTGTTACTCCTTTGCTCCTTCTTACTGCTCTCTTTCAGCCACACCCCTGATCTTCTGGTAGGAAAGATCTACACCTAGCCTTCTCATACAAGAGTGAAAAATCTCGGAGGTCTCGTGTGCAAGTTGCACACTTTAAAGATCCCTTGGTGGTCTAAAATCAGTAAGAGTAGGCTTCGGCCACCACCCAGGCCCAATTCAAAATTTCCTACCAACTGAAAATGTTTGGTGTGTTCCGCGCGCTCATATGACCTTATGCAGTTGCGAGCGCAGTAAAACCTCTTCTAAAACCAAATCTCTCTTCCTTCTTTTTTATGTTTGTTGCTCTCTTGTAACATCTCTAATCTTCGGCACTTATATGACCTTATTGTGTTGCAAGTGCCGTGATACTCTTACTAAAACTAAAACTTTCTCACTACTACAATGTCATATTTCCCTACTTGCTTTTGTCTGCAGGTGTGAGCGTGGAGACGGTGACTGAGTTTATAGCACGCTGGAAGAGCTTCCTGCAGCAGCCGCCAGAGCAAGTGACGGGAGACGGCTGAGGCGCCCGCTCTGAGGCTCACTTCTGAAGTCTCTTCTACTGCACCCTTCTTAAGGGGGAGGGAAAAGAAAAATCACCAAGGAATGAGATTGCATTCAACGCACAGTAATTATTCATGGAGGAATAACGTTCTGCGAGCTGCTATTGCGCTTGGCAGACGCCCTGCTTTTATCTCACTAGGGGGGTCTGTGGTGTGAGCGCGTCCGACGAACCCCCCTCACGACACAACAGCCGTTTGTGGCTCTCTCTGTGTGTGGGCGGGGCGGCACAGCCTTGGATACCGTGTCCAGTACCGTCTCGGTCGCTTGCCCCCAGGAACTGTCGGAGCGTTGTGTGTGTTCTAAATATATATATAGATCCCCCCGTGACTGTAGATTGATGAACTTTGTGTATATGTCGTTTGTGTGTAAAGAATGAGCTAACGGTGTGCATTACAGAACTAATGCATGGTGATTTGTGGGTTTTGTTTTTGGTTTCCACTCGTTTTATATGCTTTTTTCCCCCTCTCATTGAGTTGATACGGTAGCAACATATACCTGGATGCAGAGGATTGTAGTCTATAAAGAGTCTGCATGCATGTGTATCAAGTTGTCTCAGTGAATATATATACGTGTGTACGCGTATCTCGGGTACCCAACGCACTATGGCAGGACTTGGAAGGGTTTTCTACATTTCTGTGCCAGAAGCTGAAGTCTGTGAATGTATGTCTGTCCAAACAGGAAGAAAAATGTAGAGAACAAGCGTGGCTGTGTTCATAGAGCAGCAAGCTCGTGTGACACCTCGCTGTGGAAACCAGTGCTTACTTAAAGTTAACATACCCATCCTCTCTCAACATATTTGGTCTTTTCTATACCGCATTCCACTTCACTTTCCTTGAAGGAGCTTGACTTTTGTGATGCTTTTATTGATGCTGTGTTGAGTCATAGAAATACTGGAGAGCAGATTAGGACGGCCAGAGCGACAGCTTGCTCTTTTTAGTTAAGCTGTGTTTATTCTCAGGCAACAGAAGCGTAACTCTTAATAGTTGATTCTATTTTAACACATTTGCGCGTTCTTCTATTTCATGTGTCAGTGTGCTTTTCCTTAACTCTAAGACTACTTTTCTTTCCTGCTCCTTTGTGAACGAGTAGAGGTATGTATTTGTAGTATGTTCATTGTCTGTGGTTTGTGGAAAAATGATGGCAAACATAAGCTCTCCTTTCTTTTACCTTTCTAGAAGAACAATCTACAGTAGAGCTTGGAGTGCGATGGGGCTTTGTTGAATTTATGTAAAAATAATCGTCTGTGAACTTTGATTGCATGAAGTGAAACGTGCATTGATAACCTTGGTGTGGGATGTAAGCCAAGGAGATGTCTCGGAGCAGTGCCATGTTGGTGGATGGTAGGTGCCCTGGTGTGGTTTGTTCCTTCTTTTCTATCAAACAACTATCGTCTTTATCTCCCCTCCTTCTTTTTTGTGTTTGTTACTCTCTTGTAACACCTCTAATCTTTGGCACTTATATGACCTTATTGTGTTGCAAGTGCCGTAAAACTCTTACTAAAACTAAAGGAGCTGTGCCATGTGGGCCGGCCGCTCGATGCCACCGTGTCTGCCCTGTGTGCTGCGTGGGTCGTTACTTAAGTCCCATTTTCCACGCCATTGAAGAAACAGTCTCAGATACATCCATCTGTCATGGATGATGAATATTTTTGACTTCTTGCTTTTAGATTGAGTTGTCGCTTTGCTCTTGGGAGTTCATCTCTTGCAGTTCTTTTTTCTTTTTTTTTAATTCATTTTTTTAAAAGTATATATATATATATATAATAATCCAGAAACAATTTGCAGTTCGGATTTCATTGAACTAAGCAGATTTGTGTTCTGTTGTTATCCAGTAGTTCATCGAATGGGGATGAATAGCCTCCACATAACCATTTCCTATCGAACGATGGTTTTATTTTTGCATGTCCTGCTCTGTTTGACATGAATATATATATGGGCTAGCTCACTAATGTGCTCCACAAAGAAAACTGGGATAGAAACATTGCCTCAAAATCTGTTAAAGAACTTAACTGTCACAAAAACTGCAAAACACAAAATTCTTCAATTTCAGATTGTCTTGTGTTCTTTGTTTCATGTACATGTAGTAATATAAACTGACAGCTTTCCACTTCCACACACTATCCTGAAGGAATAAATGATGAGTGCAGTTGACCTGGCTTTTTATCTTTTGATGACGAATGAATAAATAAAGACTAAGACATTGTTGCACCGCGAAGACAGTGTTGATGATTTTGTTGTGAGAAATATGGCCTTCCTCGCTGTGTTGTGTGTGATGAGGTTTTCCTTTTTGTTCGTCTGTGTCAGTCTGTCTGATCGTGGCGTCGGTGGCCTAGTGGTTAGGCTACCGGACTTGTAATCGTGAGGTTGCGGGTTTGGGGTTCGAGCCGTGGGCCCGACGTTGTGTCCTTGGGAAAGGCACTTTACACTAATTTTCCTCACTTCACCCAGGTGGGAATGGGTACCCGGCCATAGACAGCGAAAGACCCTGTCAGTATGTTAGTGTTTTAGCGCCTATAAATGGCCGCTTGCACTGTATGCTTCCCAGGAAGTTGAGTTTGTTTCAGAATGCTTTCGGGTCTGCTGGGGTAATAGTATAGATTGTGAAGCACATAGAGCTTGCTGTTGAGCGAGGATTTGAGCTATACAAATGCTATCTATTATTATAAATTGTAAAACTTCAGGTTAAATGTAGATGTTTTTATGCCCCCATCAACACAATTTATATCATCAAAGAGACAGTCTTCAACCCTGTCTGTCAGGGCCAACCCAGGCTCAGAGAGATGCAACATCCCTGCTTAAAGATGTAGATTCTCGATAAAAATTATCCTCTCGTGGGAATTGAACTAGATTTTTCTGCAGGCAATGGCAAGGTGCCTCACCGCTACACCACAAAAGCTGGTTTGTTGACTGAGCAAGAGTGTAATATGCACAGAACATATGTATATATAATATAACATTTTAATGAGACTGTTTGTTCTTTTTTGGGGGTGTATTACGGCACTCGCAACTGCATAATAAGGTCATATGAGCGCCCTGGACACATTAAACATTTTCAGTTTGTAGAAAATTTTGAATTTTGCCCCGGTGGCGGCCGAAGCCTACTCTTCTTATCGATTTTAGACCAAGGGATCTTTAACGCTCACAAGTTGCGCACAAGCCCTCCAAGATTTTTCGCCCTTGTCCGAGAAGGTTAGGTGTTAGATCTTACCTACCATAAGATCAGGGGTGTGGCTGAAAGACAGCAGTAAGAAGGAGCCAAGGAGTAGCAGTAGAAAGGCTGAAGAAATAATCGGGAGCCCAGAGGTGGGGCAAAAGAGGTGAGGGGGTGGGGGCAGAAATTGGAGACGAACATTGTTTCACAAAGCAGGGAAGGATGTGAAAGGAGAAAATTTTAGAGAAGAATAATTTCCGTCGCTGTCTGGATTCGAACCCGGGACCTATTGAATAAGAGGCGAACGCCGTAACCTCAAGGCCACGAGAGCCCCCTATTGAAGTTAAAGTTAAAGCGCACAATGTGGATAGGCTATCACTGTTCCCGTACATATATACCGTACTAGAACTTAGAACGGCATACAGATCTCATTCAAGAAAGATGTGGTTAAAGGAAGAGTTCATCGTGGGTGGTTGGCGGGTGCTGTGGTTTTGTTTGCTTCTTCTTTCCTATCAAACATCTATCGTCCTTATCTCCCCTTCTTCTCTTTTATGTTTGTTACTCTCTTGTAATTGTAACGCCTCTGCTGATCTTCTGGCCCTCATATGACCTTATGCAGTTAGTTGAGAGCGCCGTAAAACCTCTACTAAAACAAAAGAGTTCATCACTTCACGTTCTTTGCAAAGCAGTTAAGACTTTTAGTTAGTCAAATCACCTACACTAAGACGATAGACGTGTTTTGCGTAACTACTTTTCACCAGCCTGATCAAATCTAGTACATGATGTATTAACGAATGGTGGGCTCATGATTTAGTCTCTCGTCTTCAAAAGGTTGGTGTTGTGTAATCTCATGGTATTTCAAGCCCCTTTCAGCCCTCTGGTTGACTTAGCTTGCTGAGCCCAGGGCGTGCCTCGGAGAATCTCAAAAACTCAAATTTACCTTCTCAACCAAATAAAAATGAGAAGAATTCGAACCCCAACTCCCGCCCCACACTCCAATGTGTCTTGAGCCAACAAAGCGCCCC